AGCAAGATAAATAATATTGACATCCCTGAGTCATTAACATAACATGAAAATGATTTTATTTATGTCTGTTGAAAAGATTTATATGAATGTTGCCAATTTACTTCCAAAGCATCTAATATTTTAAAAATCAAATATTCAAGACTATACTATTACATTATTTTGCAACATTTGCTCAAAATTGAATGCTATTACTTATGTAACCAGAAAATAAAAAACATTTGACCATAATCTTGTCTCAGTGGTTTTTAGACAAGAATGATAATCTCAAATGAAACAATCAATTTCTGTCTCCAGTAACTAGCCAGTGTAGCATTTTGGAAAAACAGTGTCATTGTCTAAAATTAATTGAGAAATATTTAGTGTTTAATTACGTCTCAGTCTGGTGACATAGGGCATTATTTAAAGCATGGAGATGGCAGGGAGATGAATAGGGTGTGGATTTTTCAAACTACGACCGCAATAACCTCCAGTTGGTGCTTCACAAACTAGTGGCACGTGCCGTAATTCTTCAATAAAATCCTACTATGAATGTTTATTAGGATATTAGCAGCTGAATCCATTTTGCTAATAATAATGTGATGTATCATTCAAAGTATACAGATTTAATCTAGCACAACTAATTCTTTATTTGGTTTTCTTGCATTTAATTTATTAAAAGGGTTCTGAGAAAAGCCAAAATTGAAATTTAATAAGATTTTGACTATAAAAATCCAAAAATGATAGACTAGTTTAATTCCTTGAGTGATAAACTGCAGAAGATAGGTGTGATCTTTAAGTCGAATGTTTTCATCGAGTCATTTAGCCCGGGTAGGTTTTTCATGGTTCAGTGGAAACAGGTACAATCGGTTATCCCCATACTCCAATGGGCTGATCATGACTGCAATCTGAGATGCATTTTCAGAGTTCTGCCACTTGAGGTGCAGCTTCAGGATGTCTAGCCAAATACTTAGGATGAAAACTGGATTTAGCAAATTAATTCTTGGTAGGGAAAATGAAATTAGTTTTGGGAGATGTGTTGGCAAGGCAGGATCTCGATTAAAGCCATCAGGCTCATTAGAGAAATGTCTGACGTTATTAATAACCCCCAAAAGTACCTTGTTATGGCAAAATAACATGAATATGATACAAAAACATTTGGGAATCACTAGAGTTCAAATTAGCAGAATTATGATGAAAAGTGGAGCTTAACCAAATGCTGAACAGATATTCTTTTAAAAGATAAATTATTTATCATGTCACTCACAAATGTCAAGCGCAAAATGGCGCTGGGACTTCCTCTGCCTCCACTGCTCTTCCATGCCTGTTTTCCTGGCCTCCGCAATTCCAAATTTACGTCAATGCAGACGCAAATCTTTCCTGTCCTTCAGAGAGGTGAGATGGTCCGTGTACAATGACATGTACAGTTATATTGGAGTATAAATTCAGAATCGAAATAAAAATACACTGTCTCCTCTACCTACATTAAACAAACAAACAAACAAAAGCAGATGAAAGGTGTAACAGCGTCTTCAGTGATGTAAACTTGCCACTTGAAGAGGGAATCTAATTTATAGCAGCAGACAAGAGCAGATGCATGATGACAACTAACAATAAACAACAGAAATGCACCTCATTGCTTATAACCATTCAATTATTAATATGCAGTGACGTAAAAAACAAAGTCTCTGTCATTCTTCTGTGGAATATTAAATGCTCATTCTGGTTATCACCCTGCTGACGACATGCAACTCGCAAAACACCGCTAAATTTCCTTCAGATAGGCGATAATCAGTTTAGTAGCTTAATGACGCGTGGTTCATTGTCAAACGACAGGCTTGTGCTGCTATTAATGACTTGCAGCAGCCTCCAGCGCTTTACGGCTTTTTAAAAGTTAATTTATAAAGCAAAGTATTTACTGATTGTCTGACGGAACAATTTGTCGTATATACACCATGCTGCTGCTTGAATAAGATGCGACCCACTCAAAAATTTTTTTTTAATTAATTAATTTAATAAACACAACAGAGAAACAGATAAGTTTAAATGCCAGTAGCACTGCAGGACAAATATTTCTCTATAAACCTTAATATTAGAGATTAATATTAGGAGCAGCTACCAGAAAACAGCTGCGATAACAGTAAGGATACAGTAACGGCCACATTCATTTACAGCTACTGAAGCTGCACTATATGTGGCGATATATTTCGCCTTACTGTGTTGCTTTTTTGGATTTCATCAACTAAGTTGATTCCACTCATTGCCATTGTTTCTGTTGAATGCGGAACCAAAGACTGAGATCTCTAAGCAGCCAAGTAAAAGTGACCCAGTGTATCAATAACAACAGAAGATAATTCTGGTTCCTCACTGTTACGAGACCATTTATGCTCTTGGGTTATCCATCGAGGGTTAAGCTCTAGCAGGAATTGGAGGCCAAATATCCAGCAGTGAGGCCAATGATCACATCACCAGTGATTCCTTAGTAGAACTAGACAGGGCTGACATGAACTACGAAAGACATACTCCAATACATAACCTCCTGTATCAAATACTACAGATACAGTGTTACTGGACAGCTTTTAGATAAACACAGAAACAAAACAAATATACTGCTTCAATCAGAAGGACCTGCACTGTAGAGAACAAACGTGTTGCTTCTTTTCATTTAAATTGACATACGCGTTTCATATTCCTATCTCCAAGACAGACAGTTCTGTACCGAGTTGTATTTCTTTGTCCACTGTTATTTTGGGAAAAGAATTATTTGACACCAGATATATTTTGAACAAACATATCAATTGAAAAATTGACAAATTCCAAGTCTGTGCACAACCCAAGAAGGGAACACCATCCTTAGTTCAGCTTGTGACTCCATCTAGTGGAGAGATCGATCATGTCATATCACAACTGCTGCCAGACGTGCCGCTGTAATTATCCCTTTGTGCTCCCAAAGAGCAGCGCTCTCCCGATCAGACTATGAGATTAAAGTCCACTAGTGAGAGAGAACAACCAGTATCGGTTGCATTTCCTGCGTCAAGTAAACCAAAATTCGGCATGTGGCCACGAAATATGCTAATCAAATGCAGAAGTGTACGTACGTGCGTGGTGGTGTGCAAGTTAATAGAATTTCAATTTAAATTTTAATTAGGTGAATATAAATACATTTATTCAATCTTTAATATTTGTTACTAGGCTTTCAAAAGTGGTGGTTCTGAAAAGAAAGTGGCTTATTGTAAAAGTGGTGCTTCTGAAAGAAACCTTGAGTCCAAAAGGCTGAAATATTCGCTATAACACTTGAGCAGACAAAGCTCTGTGGGTTGTGGATCTGAGCGGCAGAGTGAAAGGGGATTTACTTCGAAAACAAGCACCACAAATGACTGCTTTGGCCTTTCGATACTCCCTTGTAACGGCACTTAAAATGCTCGGCGACAGTGACAGGCAAACACATATCCAGGCAGTGGGGAAAATCCGGCTTCGGGACCCAGAATGTCAGAGAAATTGATTGCAAGAAAATCAGCTTGAATTTAGCCTTATTCATTTACTGGAAAGGGACCACCACTGAAAACGCCACACACTGCAAACCAGATTTTCTTGAATTTTATCTGCAAAAACTGCATCAAAATACAATGATCATTCCAGCAGAAAAGGCAAATTCATATTCTCATGATAAAAGAAACGTAACGTCAGTGGACTGGCTATGCTGTGTTTGTTTTGTGGGGTCCCTTTGCACTGGTGTGGGCTTTCCTCTCCTTCGCCTCGTCCCCAGATGCGCACGAACCTGGTGCGTTTGGGAAACACGGTCACAGTCGCATTAAATATTACAGTCACATATCGATGCGGCTGCTCTCTCTGCCCCCAGATAACTCAACATATCATTGCCTTAATGCAGCCTTTGATTAAAGCAGCTTTTTGGCAGAGTCTGATGTCTCTCGTCAGGCTGACCGCAGTCTAGAGGAATTAGTGTCCAACACACACACACACACACACACCTCTCTCTCTGGAAACAAGGCCACAGGCCTCCCCATTTAACTTGACCTCACCCGCTCCCCTCTGCAAACATGCCCACGCAACCTCAAGAATCGTACCAGCTCGATCCCATCTCTCTCCAACTCAGCCACCGCCTCCGTAACTGGGGGCGCCCAAGCACTCCATAGGATCCCTTCAAGTGCTTCACGGGACGAGGATCCGGCTTTGATCTGAGAAGAATGTCTGGAGATTAAAATAATTGGCAAGCCTTAATCTGAGAACAAAGGAACCATACAAGTTGGTTGGTTTTTTCCAGATAACTGGGCAAAAGGATATTAGAGGAGTCACTTACACTCAACTGTTTCAGTACTGGCAAGTTAAAAACCTACCGTGTTGAACAAACAGAGCCAAATCTCGGGCCGTTTGGGTTTTATACACGAGCCGTGGGAAAAGAAGTGTAATTCAGACAGTTTTATTTTTGCACTAACTCACAGGACACAAATGAAACAGCCCCCTGGTTAAAAATGTGGGAGCAGCAGGTTAATGACTCCTGGTGGCTGAGGGTAAGGCTCGTGCTCAAAGTGTATATCACAGATCTGGCCGCTTGTTTCCAACCCACACAAAAACACTGAGGGCAAACAGTCAATGGACACAGACCACGTAGTGAATTAAAACACCCGGCAGTTGATTTCAGAGGATCGTTCGACCGTTCTTCTCAAATAATCTCATGTGGACCGAAACCCCAGGCGCGGTTCATCAGGCTCGGATGATTCGCTTGTCTGTCTAAACAAAACAAAGCGCAATCGATACAGCCGACATTGCCGGAGCCTCGGACCATTATCCATCACGTTCAGACATGTCAATGCTGCTTGTCGGCGGTGGGAATTCGATCAGGACCTGCTTGGTATGTCATAGACGGAAACACCTGTAAGAGTCAGAAATGATGCTGCAAGGAGTTTAAATTAGCTCACACAACAAATGCAAGCCACAGCTGAGACGCTCATTTCACCCCCAGACTACAGCCCCCAGCTACTAATAAAAAGAAACAAAATAACGTGAAAGTTGTCAAAAAGGTTTTATTATGATTACTTTTTAATATCATTATTATTATTATTATTATTCAAGTTTAGATGTAACAGGCATCTTTGCTATCTTTGCTGATATTCGTCTTTTTTTTTGCATGTAGAACATACAACACAATAAAACCATTTAAGGTGGCAGCAGAAAAACAAATTAAGATAACCTAAACCATCATCTATGCAACGTAAATGCGGTAAAGTGTAAAAACAAACAAACAAAAACAAAACAACAACAAAACAAAAAAAAACACTAAAATCATGGTTAAAACGTCGACTTGCTTTTGGACATGCTCTGGCATACCATTTGAGTTCTTCATACGAATCTCTACTGTGTTTCCCGTATCTCAAGCCTCGCAGTAAGTCTGTTAAAATACGCATGATCACTTCCGCAGATTAAGACGCAGTACCTGTACGCAGCATGCTAATTACACATTTTAAACTTTCTTCCTTGGCAATACAAATGGATAACTGAAGTGCAAGCATTAACATACTTTAAATTAAAACATAGTTTAAAAAAAAAAAAAAAAAAAAAAACCTTGTTACTTAATTTCCTATAAATGCTCCCATGAAATGAAGTTTATTTTTCTTTACAGGAGGAGGCATTTGCAGTGAAGCAGCACTGTAAGGCTTTTAAACGAGTCTGATTTCTCAGTAAAATCCAATCCAGCAAACTTGATTCCTGTAGCTCTCCGTCCGCCACCGCTCACGCCCGTATAAACGAGTGTGCATGTGCATGCAAAGACCCCCCCTGCAGCACTGAGCCAAGGATGAGACATAAAATGTAAGTGCACACTGAGAGTGTCCTAACTGTAGTGAACTGGAGGGAAACCCACAACGCAGCGGGAAGATGTGAATATCGGTTATTAAGCTCAAGTCCCGGCCGAAGGCAGGAGTGATCTCGTTACGATGTTTGCTGCACCCCAGCAGGGTGGTGGGCTGATTAATGTTCAGAAGGAAATCGCTAAAATCTGCTTGCTGAATCCTGGTGCTGCACCACCGGCAATAACATGGGGGGGGTGACACAACCATGACCCGCTAGTTAAAGGTGGAACTCCATGTTTACCGCTCCATAAAGCTTGCGAATTTGGATGAAGCTTTGGTGAGTTGTTTTATGTAGGGTGTCCGGCCTTCAGACTCGCAAATTCAAAGGCACCTCGATCGCCTCCTGACAGTGTCTGACTGTCTACAGAGAGCTTCGCAACGTACGTGTCCGACTCAAAGTTTCACCGATTCTCAGAAACGAACATATGGTTTTCTTAGTTTTTTTCTGTCAAGTTTGTACTTTGCTGTGTTTAATGCAGATGAAAATGAAATTAAACATGGAAAAAAAAAAAACATGATACTGGAGAATGAAACCAAACCTTAACAGAGAATTAGGTGGGAGGGGCAAGACCCTGCAAATTAAGCAATTAAGCTTAATTAATCGGCATTCCTTGAGATAATTCTAAAAAGGTTGATGGAAAGAAAAAAAGGTAGAATAAACTCCAATACAATGCACATCGATATCATACGATTAAGCGCAAACCTAAGTATTCTGGAATAAAGACAGGCATTGAATGGAATGGATAGTGCGTTTGACTTCCTTGGCGCCATATTTCTATTTCAATCTTTATCCTTCTTTTCTTCTTGCGAGAACCATTAAAAGATAAAACAAATGTTTCTTAGTAGCATCTCTCCTTTCTCAGGGAGAAGAGGGATTTAAAAAAAAAAAAACTTTAAAATTTCAAAAATAGAAGTTCGCTTCATTACCTTGTTTGCTACATTTGCAAATGTAAACAGTTACTCAGAGCCAGAACACTGGACCCCAGTTCATCAGATGTGTACTCAATGTTGCATATCAACATACCAGGTAGAAAATATTTTATACAATGTATCAGGCACTGACATGATTTTTTTTAACAAGTTAGAAAAAAATAGGACTTTCTTTTCAAACATCTTTAGTGACCTAAGGTTTGTTTACCAGCAACTAAGGCAGTAGCTTAATGTCTAGAATGACTTGTGTAACGACGTTCGTTTCTATGGTGGGAACACAGCAAACAAACAGATGGACGTACATCTACACACAAAAAGCTTGGTTCAATGTCAACCGTAGACCAATAAACGACTGAGCTAACAACTGCTTCTCACTCTGCTGAATGATTCCCTGAGGGTGTTGTATTTTTTTAATTTATTTTTACTTTTTTTTCCTTTCGCAACTGTATCGTCGCCGTAGAGACTTGGCGATCGAGAGCAAGCTGTGAGGACGCAGGCCGCGGCAGAGGGGTCGTGGCCGGTGATCCCCACCCACGGCGTCAGGTACGAGCGGACGCGCCTGCCCTTTAACTCCCAAACGATCGGCGAGACAGCTCGCAGAAGAAGCAAACCCCATCTTACCGGAAATGAAAACAAACAAACAAGAAAAACCTGTGCAGAAGTACCTTATTTGCTGAACTGCCTTGTCAAAAGGAAAGGAAAAGAAAAAGGATGTCATTTGTACCATTTCATTTTAAAAGCATATCCTTTTACACAGAGTCTGAATAGCTGTACACTGAACACCGTACGCCATAAATGTTAAGATTTCATTAGTTCCCTACTAAGTTTGAGTCACTGCGGCACTGTTAGCAATCCCCCCCTGCCCCGCCCCCTTTCCCGGCTCCCCGCTCGTTAATTTGTTCATCGGCTATTGATCCCACAGCCCTCAGTTTCGTCCAGAAGGCCGCTTGTGCTGGGCATGCTCAGTTCACTCCTTGGGACTGGCATCGGCCCGGACCTCCCCCGCCGGCCGGTGCAGCCCCCGCTGTATGTGCGTGGTGAAGTCGTACTTGTCCGCGCAAGCGTGCAGGCAGATGCTGCACTGGAATGGGCCGCCGTCGCCGTGGCAGCTCATGTGCAGGGCATACATGACCTCATCCAGGAAGACGACGCTGCAGTGGGCGCACTTGCTTGACTGCTCGTCCTGAGTGCCCCGCTCCACCTTCTCGGGCGGCGGGCCGCCACGTTTGGCCGCGGGCTCCGCGCAGGAGGCCTCGTCTACCTCCTCATCCTCGTCATCCCCTCCTCCCTTCGCCGGTGCCCTCGGCGCCTGTGGCAGCCCTCGTCTCCCGCTGCCAGAGGCCCCGTTGGCAGGGACCGGTTTGGAATGTCTGACGGCCAGGTCCAGGGGAATGTCGTTGTCCGGACCCGGTGCGGGGAAATGCGGGGCCACGCCGAAGGGAGGGTAAGGCACAAAGCTTTGGCAGGGGTTCGCCAGGCTGGGCACGTTAAGGTAAGGGGGGTTCCCTGGCACAGACATCTTATACTTAGTCCAGAAGCGAAGCCAGTCAGCTTCACTCTGCAGGTCACTATGGAGGAAGGGCAGGCTGAAGAAGGGGTACTGGTACTTCTCGATGGGGCTCCCAGGAGGTGAGTAACTGGCCTGCTTCGCCGGCCTCATGTACTTCTCGATGGGGCTGCCCCGCTCCGAGCTGCTCTTGCCCTCGGCGGCTACCGGAATCCCTGCCCCAATGCCGTTCCCTTCCGGCCCGCTGTCCTGGGGGCTCTTGTGCAAAGGGGGCATGCGCTTGTGGATCTCCAGGGTCTGGCTGACCAGGAACGCGTGGGTGGAACGCGGACTGGGATGGCCCTTGGTTCCCAACGAGCTGTAGACGTCAGCTTTGGTGAGAGCGGGCTGGTGCTCACCCCGGGAGGCGGCGGGGGGGTCCGGGCCGGCCTCGTCGGGTCTCCGCTCCAGGGGGCTGCCATTGACCTGCTCCTCGGCCCCCACCCTTTGCTGCTTGGAGCTCACGGGCTCGACGGGCATGGAGTCAGGGTTCAGACGCTTGCGCGTGCGCCGGCGGATAATCTGCTCCCCGTTGTTCTGTTTGATGATGTTCAGGGGCCTGGGAGTCTGCCGGGGGACAGAGACAGGGAGAGGCGGCATTTAAAATTAAAGAAAAAAAAACAAGCTTACCTGATTAATCAAAACGTAAATACTTCACCTAATTCCTGAGGTTATGAATAAAACATTGCCTACCAGGTTTCATTTGTCATCATCAAGGCTCTTATTCAAACACAGAGTTTGTAAAAAAAAACAGTGCCACTTTATCTAGAAGAATCTAAATTGGAGACACAGTGGTGTGCAGTGTGGGGGCGGGGCTGTGTGGAGATGGGGGCGGGACTCTTCATTCAGACCAGCCCCTCAGTGGCCCAAGCATGCATGACAAGAGACAAGGACCAGTGGGTACTCTCCGTTTTAGATTCCCAGCTTGGGGGTGGGAACAGAGGCCCATAAACAGACCTACAATTCTCACATGCTGTACTGTGGCAGGATATGAGAGGGAGGAGGGTACCCTGAGGTCACGGGCACCATTCACCAGGAACCAAGCACTTCTCATTGCCGTTATCGCTAACTTTCTATTGCTGGATGTTCACCTAACCCTCTCAAGGTCGCCGAGAAGCAGAGGAAGACGACGGCTGGGTCTGCGTGCTGCTTTTTTCATTGTAAAGAAGAGAGGGAGCAGAACGACAGCTAGCAAAGGATGCAGTGTCCCTAAGTCCCTCAGAGGTGCCGAGGCTTCCTCAGAAAACAACCCAGAAGAGACCAATTCTCGGCAACCAAAGCCAGATCCCCTGGCATTCTCAAGGAAAGGAAACCAATCATTTTAAAAATAAGGGGAAAAAATACATAGCTGACACTGATAGGATTGGTGGGGGGGGAGGGGGGGCTTTGTACCGCGTGAAGGGGAAAAGCCTTTTCAATACTACTGAGGGATTACAGTAATACAAGCTCTTCCTCAATCTGCCTGAAGCACTTTTGTTCATCGCCATCAGCGTCACAGGAGGAAGGCAGCGAAAAACCCGGCCGGCTTCATATGGATCTGCTGGGGCTCAGGGCATAAAACAGGCCAGCCGAGCATCGCGGGATTAGGGCACTTTGTCGAATAAACATGGGCTGCGAGGCGACTGCTGAGGGGCCAGGACAGCTTAATTATTTATTTCTTTTTTAGAAAAGTGTTCTCTGTACTGCAGGAACCAACACCCTGTCCACAGAGCGCCTCACACCTCAAGCTCCCAGCACTGCTTGAGCAGGAGAGGTCACTAGAGGGCAACTCCCAAACAGCATTTATTATCTGGTGCCATACATCCATCCATCCATGGCCCCAGTTAGCCTGGAGCACCAGCATAAGGCACAAAGCAGGGAATGTCTCGATAATGAAGTCACCCGACAGAAGACCAATAAGGCGAATAACCACGCAATCCCAGAGAGCAAATACACACTGAGTGTGTCAGTAGGGGAAATGGTTCAGATGCAGGTAGGGACATACAGTCACCATTTCATACAGCTGTCTGTGGCATGTAGGTTAACAGAAACACGTGGGAATGTATGCGAAGGATCTCCATGCGTAATGCAAAAAAATCGGCAAGACGCAGAGGCGTGTAATCAGCAGCAATGCGAACCTTCAGTGAAACCGCAGGGGCTGCATGCATTGAAGCGCCCTGGGCCGACGGCCTGCGCCTCTCTGCACGTGCAGAAACACCCCTCCGCTTCCGGACCACGGAACTGAAACGGGACCCCCGCTACCGACTGATGGACGTGCACACGCCCCGCCCACTCAAATCCGAGGAGATGGCACGGGGGGCGCAAGCGCTTAAAGCGTTTTTAGTTTTTCCAATTAACGGGATTTGACGTTACGTAATTGCGCGATATTTGACATTGAAATCCACGTTATGCAGCATTTTGTTCTCGCACAGTAGATGGCTCTAGCCCAGGATGGATTCCGCATTACGTTACCCAATCATCTAAGTCTTTTAATTATAATAATTATGCTAATCAGTGTTTCAGACATAACAAGGAAGGTATTTTCCTGCCCTGAAGGATAGAGTCTGCTAATAGCACTTTGTTGCATTAGCATGATTAGCGGGCATTAAAGGTTCTGAGCAGAATACATAAACATTATGTCCTAACATCACCCCACACTGTCACCGTGTTACCCCCCTGCTAAAAGGAACAGCACCACTACTGGCGGGGAAACTTAAATATTATGAACATCATGAGACTGGAAGGGGAGGTGCCCTGGTCAAGAAACTGCGGCGTGTGCGTGCTGGACAGGGAGGAATGATTTAAACGTGTTAGAGGGAAGCATTGCATTCTGGGATACGCAAAGGAGGATGCCCAGGTGTGTGTTGATTCAGGACGCTCCAGCAGGCAGGAGGCTTAAAAGCTCAGGAGAGCAACATTGTGTCACATCCAATAACTACGGGTCACTGTTTATCCCGTTTGGGGAGACAAAGGCTCAAAAATGGACATTAGTTAATTCTCTCCTATCCCATTGGCTTAAATCAGACAGACTGGCGACACATGGCGACTCCACCGACGCCTGGTTTCAAAGCCTCGGTTCTCTCATAACTGGCATGATAATCAACATCCAACAAGTCAGCTGAGCAAATGCGATGCGAGTCCGTGGCACGGTAAGCGCCACACGGTTAGCGGCTTGCGGGGACTGCGCCTCGGAAAACCTCGGGAAGGAGAAGCCAGAACGTGCATGACAGCTGGCAGGGGAAGCTGCCATGTGCCTTTTTAAAAAGGCTTTGCGTGGCATTTTGAGGCCTACATTTTGCTGGGATTTAACTGGAGGCACTGGACACGGAAACATTTAAAGTGACCTGCTGGGGATTTGAGAGGGAAGACAATGGTGATGTTACCGTTTTATTAATGAGCTCCCTGTCCTTACAGTTCCAGTTCCACTGCCAGTATACACAAGCAATGCTGTAACCGCTGAGACCTGCCGACTGACACCAGAGGGGGAATCCTTTCAAGCTCCCTGTGTTTAAGATGCTACGTTTTAACCTTCCGGAACTAAGACGTGGCTGAGTGCAAGTCCATGGACCTCCCAGATGAGGGAGCATTTACCAGGAGAGGTTGTAGCATTTTAACACGCTCAACCCTACTTCCCACGTTGATGTCAAGCAGTGCTTCTAGAAGATAAAATCTGATGGACGTTTATTGTTGCAGTATGTTCTGGCATGAAGATAGAAGGCTTTAGCTACGGGGCTCCCTACGCCATTGTTTTACGAGGTGCCATTAAGGAATTATTTCTGTGCAGCGTATAAAAATTTACTCAAAAGTATAAAAATACTACCTTGTCTTGACTGCCAAGGAATAAAAGGATGAAGTGCTCTGGAGCGTAGGTGAAAATTACACAAGAGTGCACACCATTCTCTGAGAAACCCAGAGAGGAAGTGATGTCACTCAGATTACTAAACCCCCAGAATGCAACAGCACCTACTCCGGGTGGAGGACTGAAATAGGAAAATACCGTCATGCGTCTGAATATTGCCAAAAACAGAAATGGAGGGAAAACACAATGATAAAAGGGGGGAAAAAAGTGCAATATGGAAAGAGTCTTTGGGCCTTAACACACTTGGTATCTTTTTCCTGACCCAAATATTAATTGCCTGTGAAGCATATCCTGTATCCAAGCTGATGGCTTATTGCGGAGTGTCACATGGAAACAAACGTGAAAAAGAAATGGAAAAAGGCAGGGAGTGGGCAGGGGGTTCGAGCAAATGATGGATCGCCCGCCTAATCTGGCATGAAATATCCAAAATAAACATCTGACTGCGCCAGTCGTCAGAATGGTTTTGATATTCAGCTAATTTAAACGGTATTTACGGGAGACGCATATGCGTGACTCACAAATTCTCAAAATATTCACTCGGAGGGGGAAAAAAAAAAGCGAATGCAGCCTCATTTCTGCCGTTCCATTCTGATGAGAAGACGTGTCATAAACGCACGAGTTTTACGGCGAGGTTTGTCCGGGTTCCGGCATGTCCACCCAGGCATTTGGGCCGAGCGGCACTCAGTCCTGAACGGATCCTTGGCTCCGCCCCCTGTGCCATGCCTCTGCTGTAAGCTGTCGGGAAGGAACCAGGTGGTTTGAATCCTGAAAAGGGTTCTTGTGGCCAAGCTGTCCAGGGCTCTCCTCTCCTCACCCGGCCGCCTGCCCGCCGACCACACCGCGTCAGGGAAGCTCCTGTGTCGGGTCTCTGCCACCCAGGCAGCGAACTGGAGCCACGGCCGTCCCCTAAACCCCCCCCCCCCCCCCCCCCTTCCAGCGGGCCGCGAGCCACTCGCTGTGCGAAAACAAACCCGGCTGACTCAACCACCCGAAGAAAATGTGATCAAACACAGACTAATGAATAACAAAAACCGAATTTAGCACGGAATTGATAAGACCACAACGGGGCCTTTGTTTTTCCGTGGCTTCGCTCTCCGAACACGGTGAATTTGTCCGGGCCGTACGAGTGTGTTTTCTTAGCCTCGCGCGACGTCAGCGAAAACGCGAGAAGGCGTCCACCAGCTAAGGTGCGTTTAGGAAACGACTCCCGATGGCATGAGACAGTGAGCTCACGCCATCTGATGCCGCACGCTGTGGAAATGAGAAGCCCAAAGATCTGCATCTTCAAATTCAAATATAAATCAGGAAACTTGCAGCTGACCTCCTAGATTAAACCTGTTTAGAGCAAGGATTCAGTGCACTGGGTAACAAACATTTTTGTGCTGAATGGTGCCCCAATGTTTTTTTTTTTTTTATCTCTGTCCCCCTCTTAGAGGCTCCATCTATTGCAGGTAGGACCTTAAAAAGCAGGACTGAGAATTATATGGGGATTTTAGAAGGTGCTTCATGGGGGCTCGTTCAGGGCTCTGTGCAGTGGTCACTGGTCGCACTGGGGCTCGTTCAGGGCTCTGTGCAGGGGTCACTGGTCGCTAGGGCTTTACCCAGAATGATTGGAGGATTGTTCGCTGATTTTTTTTTTAACACACCAGATAATGATATGCTAAAATACCTGTACAGCACACAAAATATCAGCCGCTAAAAGGGAAGAGGAACGTAAAATAAAGAAAAG